AAATAATTCGCCCCAAAGTAAGTGCAGTGCGTTATTGTGATAGTCTTAACAAACTTTCCATAATCGGACAGCATTAACAGATGTTCAGCCCTGTCCAGACTACTAAGCACTAGCCTACTGGGGCAATTGTGATTAAATGTGTATAGAGGATGACACTTCGATTATGACCATGCTGAGTGTTACTCGGTTTGTGCATTCTCAGCCCAATACCCCCTTAAAGTACCTATTAGCATGGCCATGACAGAAATGGGATTTTCTGAGGACTCTTCAGGACAACCCACAACCCACTGGAAAAACACCTATCGTTGTCGGCTAAGACCCACCAGGGCTACACTGCCATGAAATTCGGCAACAAGGTAAGGGATGGACTCTCAACTCATCCATGGTTTTCCACCCTCCATCTAGGATCCTCAAACCTATTGTCTAGTATGTGAATCTTATTGGCGGTTATTTAGTGGCAAGTAAACCTGTCCTGAACCCACCCAAATCCTGTCCGAGGTTTGAGGACCCCTATTGTTCACTTTCATTGCATAGATCGAAAGTATCACTAAACAAACAGATAATCTCCACCATGGAATAGAGATTGGCGTTGGCGATACCACCCGCGGTCCGGAGGCCTCCCAGTACTGTCTGGCGATTGTCGGAAGCACAGATGAAAGTATTGCGCAATGCGGAGCGATCAACTGTTGCCATTTTTAATTTCCTATACTGGTTTGTCAAAACTATCAGTCTAACGGGAAGTGGGGAAGAAGGGAGGGTACTCTAGTGTGGTAGCGGCGGTGCTTACACCTATGGCGAAGAAAAAAAAATTAGGGTTGACACAGGAGTCGTGGAGGTGAATTGGATGGGCGGTGGCAAGTGCGGAAAGGATCTATGAAACCGGCGAGGGCGATAACCATATTTTTCCAACATTCACATGGTGTAAAACCAACTACACCACAAAACCACCTCCGCACTTTGACTAACAAAATATGCCCTTAAGACTATGTAGGATGTTACTGGTTTTAAGGAAAGGCACGTAAAACCATTAGCCGTACGAGTTTTGCAGGTACGGTATTAACTTGAATAAGAGCAACACAACTCATGACGTCTGGGTTTCCCCTCCCTATAATGCGTAGTTTTATTTTGTTGGTATTTTCTCCTGTCCTTGCTAAGATAGGCAGATCGGGCGTCCTGAGGCGTGTTGTTCTTATTCAAGTTAATACATTACCCTGTGGGCAGTGAACCAGCCATGCTAGTGTGATAAGAACTTCGGTACAAAGTTAATTGATGGGACAAAACCCTCACACAAGGTCAGCGATATAACAGTGGACCAGACATCCGTTGATGTATATTTATTCTGTGTAGGCAATTGGTCATAGTAAACACCTACTGCCACCCGGTACATTTCTGGGTGCAATAAAAAAACATCATTGAACCCCAGCCGGACCTCCTTTCCATGCGCTCGGAGTGGACACAACGAGCACACAGCGCACCTTCACTGCCGACAGCTATTAGGTTTCCTTCACATGGTGAGATCGGTTCCAATTACGCTCGTCACGGAACAGATCGAAACCACCCTTCAGCACAACACCAACAAGAATGGCGTATAACAAACGGTCCAGTTTCTTCCCGACGTTGTTAACATCTTGTCGGACCGTGTCGATCTTGACGCTCAAAACACTGACCGTCTGAAATCTTGTTAATGGTTTGCCTGATTTCCACGATAGATCCAAAGCTCACCTTATCGAGTTCGTGAAATACAGTAAGTACTGGAATAATTGAACCTCAGGCTAGGGCGTTCAGAATTCCCTCTCTTGGATAGGGGGCCGAGAGCACAACGAAAACCGACTCCCCGAGCCACTGCTTAAGAGAAAAAGAAAAAGTAAAAAACACCCCACCATACCAACAGAGGCAACACCCACGCCCTAGCTCGAGGTTTAATTATTCGAGTTCCCACGGTATGTCGATTGAAACTCCGTGTTCCTTGTCGACACACTGGAGATTTTCTGCATTGGTACCGTGTCCTCCATTCCCGTCCCCTTCATGTCTTTGCTCCCCACCGCTACTCTCAACCAGGGTTCCGAATGGTCGGCGATGGACTAGACTGGACTAGGTAGTCTGGTCAAAATTCGGTCTAGTCCCATGAGAGATTTGAGACTGACCGGGCAGTCAAGTTGCAAGACCGAACTGGTTGGGGATTGGTCAGACCGAGGGGACCGAGTGATAAAATGTGCACGGCCCTTACGCAAAACCTCAGCTGTTATGTTAGTGTATCTTTGAGTTTCGCCCAACCTGTCTAAAAGTAGATGTTTGTTTTGAATTTGTGGGGGACCGAGTTAGCCTATGGTGGAATGTCCTAGTACTAGAGGTGAAGAAATTGATATAAAAGGCGTCTATGGTGATATGAGGAGAATATTGTTTTCCCTATCCAAAGTCAAGTTTGGTGACATTTCCTACGTTTGTTTCGCTTCCCTGTTTTTTTCATTGTGGGAGAGGCTGATTCTCAATTGTTTTTAACATATGGTGGTAGTCGGTTCTTAACAGTTCTATTTTCACTATATCTCATCAAATAATAGGAGTCAGACTACTCTCAGATCCTGTCTTTCGGACTGGTCAGAAACTGGTCTAGACCAGACTGGACTGTGTAAGGTAGTCAAGTCCAGTCCGCATGATCGATCGGGATTGAAGGTCCAGTCAAGCCCCCAAGACCAGACCGGTCCGACCATTGGGAACGCTGCTCTCAACCACCAAATTATGTAAGTGACTTGACGGCAACCACCCGGGCTTGGTATAACTTACTGGAGTTCTCGTAAACCCACGCTCTGCCACCTGTATTCCCGGCCTAAATCGGAGACCAGCAAAAAAATACTTTGATAGCGGCATTCTGGTCCGGTGTCTGGTGGGGTGTAGTGGGAAAACACTGCTGGATGGTTGCTGGACCTGCTATTTGGCTCGGTTGGTGAGTTCACTTGAACGGGGAAGAGTAATGGTGAAAGCGCAAACCAACCGCAAGCAATCCTGAAATAGCGCCTGCTTTCAGGCTATAGTTACCCTACCCCCCAGTGAATTTTGGCCAATAGTCCCTGAAGTACTGTGCTCGTGCGCAGACAATACTTGTCGGCCAAGATTTGCCACCCCGTTTGTCCTAGCTGCTGAGTCGGCTATCCAGGGATAGTGCGAAAGAAGTCCGTATTTTCCTTCGTCACCCAGATAGAATCAATTACACCACAAAACCAACTCAACAGTGGTAGTCTGAATCTTTTAAACATCATGCTACGACTATAAGAATAACAAGCGTCTCCTCTTTCTCTCACTGCCTCCACTCTACACTCTGAGGCCATCAGGATTGAGAAGGAACAGTAAAATGTTAAATGTCTTCCACTTCATGCTCACCCATAAGCAAACCCGGAGGTATTTCCTGCCCACCCAACCTCCGACATGAAGGCTAGCCAGAGGGCAAATTAACTAACTTAAACTGAGCCCGCTTACCATCGCTATACTCCGAAGGGCGCCCCCTCCCGGGGAACAGCCTCTCCCGAATTCCTACGAGCCCGTAATTCACCGCTCTATCCATAGGCTGGCCTTTGTATAGCCATTTGACAGACAAAACATCATTTCCTCAACGCACTTCCGTGCAGCCCACGTGCCACATGATTTAGCGGGCCCCACAGCCTAGTATACCAATACACTGATCTTATCAGATCGCTTTTTTCCACCAAGGATGTGGGGAATATTGTTCCGGATGACTTCGGCAATCATGTAGCTAGTGGGATTCTGAACACGGTATGGTCCAGGAACTTGATCTGATTGGTAAAGCGAAGTCGGGGCATGAATCACATTCATACAGTAAATCACCGGTAGAAGATCAGTCCTCGCGTGTTGTTGGATCTCATTAACAGGTATTCGTGATCTGTTTACCCCCCCAAGGAAACCTATCGTGGGCTTGCGAGATTGTGGATTCCGCGAGATTTTGCGGACCCATGAAGCCATCTCGTTTATTCCTACCCGACCTCTCGGCCCAAGCAGGGATATCATGATATTGTCATACCTACCGCATGATAATGTATGATGCTGGTATTCCGGTCTGCCCGGAAATATCACTCTGGACCCTTTCGCTACATCACCATGTATTGGTATGATACGGTACTTGTAAAGTCATGCACAGAGAAGTCCAACCCCCATTTTCTGGCCATTCAAAAGACCCCCCTGCTTCCTTTCTTCGCCTAAGGAAAATCGCTCAGGGCTATATAGCATCATACCCGCAAAATCTATGACAATGCCATCTGACCTGAACCCTTACCCACAATCCCCGCCGAGGAGTCACCCCGGGTTATCCTACCGGTACGGTATCATACTTCTACCAGCTCTCCCCCCCATAGAGGCATCTGGGGATCGAAATATCATAAATGTATTATTATGATAGTAAAAATTTACGCAACGACGGCGAAATATCAGATCCTCTATTGTAGATTATCGTGCTGGTAAAGTGTAACACCCCCACCCACTGTTGATAATCAGCGGTACTCAGTATTTCAGATGTGTCTAGTTGTTATGTTTCGGGCAGCAGTGCCCTACTGTCGTTTCACTTGTTGTTTCATCATGTTTCAGGGAGACCGTTCATTGTTCTCGGTAGTATCAGACATCTTCGGCATCTGGCAATGCTCGGTAGTATATGGATGTGTTCGGCAGGATGGAATTACCGAGGAATTAATTTGTGCAGGCCACAGGGGATGATCAACCTTGGAGGATCAAGGAGTAACCGGAAGTCCCTCGGCCTTATGTTAGAAGCTTCATGTGTTTGGTGTGTGGAGAGACGAGATATTAGATTGCAGTTGTATGGTAGATTTCTTCTATATAAACCCCCTCATTCCGCAGATAGAAAAGAAAGGATAAGAAATACAAGAATCAGGAAAATCTTAACTCTTTCCTCATACTACCTCCTCCTTCGAGTCACTCTAGCCGGATATCATAACAATAACTACCACCATCGCCACCGTCGATTCTCTGACATGGAAAATATGCCACTGTCAGTAAGGCTGGCAGAAAAAATGAGAGCTCCCAGTTGATACAAAGATTGCTGCGGAAAATCTCAAGCGAAAGAGCAATGCGGAAGAGTTTCAATTTCTGGAGACTCGTGTGCGGGAATTGGTATGCTTCCAGCACAACCTCTTCTCCCCAAATTCTGGACTACGGCTGATTAGGGGGTTAGGATGGCAAAGACACCCCCGCTTGCTGAGAATTGCACTTAACGGAGCAGGGGGCGACTGGATTACGCAAAGCTCATTTCAGGACCTTGACCGACATCCCACGGAAGGCTATCCTGTTGCCATTGAAAGGTCCTGACGTCCCCGGCACTGCAAAGACGGGAAGCGGGAAAATGTTGGCATCCCTGGTTCCTGTGAGAGAACTCCCAGCTTTCTGGTGCGCGGTCAGGTCCCTGACAAGAGCAGGTTTTGGAAATTCTCTATCCGAGGAGATGGACCGCTGTGGATGGTTTGGGCCCACTCTTTATCTCACCTACCCGCGAGCCCGCGCCACAGATATTCGACGTTCTGTGAAAAATGAGGAGAGAGTATACATTCTCCCCTGACCTTGTTATCGGGGGAAGGGAATTGAGGGATGAACAGGAAGCCCTCCACAGGGTGAATATCGTCGTCTGCACGCTTGGGCGAATGGTACAACACATGGACTAGACCGTCGGGCTTATGCTAGACAATGTTCAAGGGTTGGTTTTGGATGAGGCCAATAGGATCCTCGACATGGGCTTCCTAAAGACTTTAGACGGCATCATAGAGAATTTGCCGAAAGAGAGGCAAACCTTGCTGTTCAGCGGGACACAAATGAAGAGTCTTTCGGACCTCGCAAGCTAAGGATTGAAGGGTGTGGAATACCTTACTGTCCGTGAAGCCGGAGGAGCCGCTACTTCGGCTACCCCGACGGGTTTGGACCAGTTCTACATGATCACTCCTTTGCCGGACAGGCTGAATACCTTGTTCGCCTTTCTCTGGAATGATTTGCAGTCGGAAATGATGGTATTCATGAGCTCCTGTAAACCGGTCCGTTTCGTGTACGAGACTTTTAGGCAACTGCACATTAATATTCCACTTCTGCATCTCCACGGAAAGCAAAAATAAGCGCTAGGACAGACGTAACAGCAAAACTTTCTCCCGGGAAGCCAAGTTGTTTATTCTCTACTCACGTGGTTGTGAGAGGCTTGCACTTTCCAGCACTGGATTGGGTTATTTAGTTGGCTGGGCCGGAGGATGCTGATACGTATATCCATCGTGTTGCGCAACCTGCTAGATTTGAAAAGGCTAGAAAGGCACTTCTGTTCCTGTGTCCAAGCGAAGAGAAATTTGCAGACAGGTTGGTTAGCAGGCAGGTTCCGATCAATCAAGTTTGCCAGAAAAACTCTAAAAAGCAGCACATTCATAACCAATTTAACCGAGTAGTGATGGGCACGATCATGATCCAGAGGACGCCATGATGGAATAACCGAGAAAATTGGTAGACCCTGATCGAGTAATCTTCAATCTAACATACCAACCCAGATCGAAGATCGAGCAGCGACGGAGCATATTTGAGTCTAGTTGATTATGATTTTTTTTTTGTAACAATATTGCCTGAAACCAAAGGTACTTGCTCTGATGAAACACTTCACAAGGGTGTTAGTCAAAAGGTTATCCCATGCCATTAACGCAATATCTGGTAGCCGCTGTCGTGGAGTTTCAACTACGGGATAATATCTATATTCCGCTCTACCCTTGGCTCTTGTAGGTGGATATCAGCATTTCATGACATCATCATCTAGAGCGAGGACATTTCAGACAAGCGAACCGCAGGGTCAGACATGTCGGGGGTCCTGCGGCGGAGTATGTTGTCGGGGACATGTTATTGAGTGTGTGGTGTAGACCGTGATTAGATTAATAGATGTCGAGTAATTGCTAGGACAGATATATGTATATGTATCGACAGAGTCATCGATCGTGATCGATCATGATCGAACATGGTCGAGCAGTACCCCTACTGGAGCAACCCGAGCAGATCATGAGGGCACAGCTCGAGCATGATCTGATCGAGTAACCCTTATGATCGCGGGTGATCTTCAACCTAATATATTACCCTAGAACCGCCGGACCAGTATATCGAGCATGATCTGCTCGAGCAAAACTCGATCATGATCTGATCGTGCCCATCACTAGCAGTTGCTGTAACTCAACGCTAACCGGTACCGTATCTGCCGCCACATCCACCCCCAGCTCCAGTTTCCCTTCCCTTCGTTCGCTCCCTCCCAACTATCTACCTTCTTACCTCCCTATTCACCGAGCCCCCCCCCCACAGCCAAAGCGAGCGAACAGAAGACAGAAACTAGCCCCAAAACTTCCTCCAAATTTTACCGAGTTTTGATCACTACTCTCTTTATAATGCTTGCTGCGGCGGACAAATCGATGAAACCAACTATCGAGGTCACGAAGCAGGGAAGGTACAACATAGTCATTGGGGACTCCCTCAAGTGAGAGAACGTTCATGTGGACGAAGATCTCTTCGCGAGCGTCAAATTTTTGTGAATCCACCCGCTTTCTTTACCCCACTTACTTTGCTAGTTACTCTTCTGTGAAGCGATTGGGTGGAAGTCGGAAGTGAAATTGGCTTGACCTCTGGTGTAGATAATTTCCAGCAACCGACTTCACTAGCCAGTGGCTTCCCTCCTGGTCCCACTAAGAGTGAGCCTGGCGGTGAGGCACCCTACAGTTTAACGCTCACACCCCCGGGCCAGCCTTCTCCTAACCATATCGTCTACGAGGGTTCTCAGCATACCCGGAAGAAGACCGAATGTATCCTCCTGTTCGATCCTGCGAAGCAAACCTTCACTCTGGAAAAGCTGTCTTCAGCTTTCACTTTTAACGCGAAGGTTTTTGTGGGCGGGCACCCTCCACTTCGTCTACGGCAGCCCCTAGTAGGAGAGGATGATGATGAAATCTCGGCAGAAGAGAAGGAGGACGACAATCCGTTTGATTACGGGCATTTCCTCAATGAGGGGGCTACCACCAAGAGCCGAGCCCAGCAGCGAGCAAAGAATGAGGGGAGGAGAAAGAAATCTTTGATCGCTGCCGAGGCCTTGTGGGAGAATCCCGACCAGTCGGAAGGAGAGAAGGGTCGAAAGGATGAGGAAGAGAGTAGATTAGGGCAAGGAATTACATACGGCGGGCGCCCGCCTATCCTCAGCACAGTTAGCAGACCCTATATTTCAAGCATGAGGGCCGGCGGGAAGAGCCCCACTATTAGTAGGAGGAAGAATCCATCAGCAGGGAATCGTGGCATGACGGCTCCGAGCCCCGGGGGTTGCAACCGGGGTTCTGGTTCGGAAGAAAGCGAAGCGGATGATGAGGGTACCGACGAGGATGATGGTGAGCACTATGGTGCCCCACCGTTTCATGTGTCCCCCCCACCTCCCAGCCTGCACCCAGGGATACCCGGCCTATCGGCGAGGACCATAGGGAGTTTGAGTTTAAGGTTGGCCTTCCCAAGGAAGAGGAAGAGACACCCGACGTCGGCGATTATTCCTAAGACGAGCCGAATCCTCCCAGAGCTCCTCAACAGGCTGTCCATGTGGGAGCGCCTGGGCAAGATGAGGTGGACGAGGGAGATGTATCTTGACGAAATGGGAGGGGTTTTGCTACTAGTGCTCAAGTGCAGTGCATGTATGATACGTCGCCTGTAAACCGAAACTGCGCCTATTCTGCGGTGGGTAACATGGGGAAACAAGGCTGGAATAGCGGATTCACTAAGCACTACCGTAGATCCCAAAGCCCTTTTTACAGTCAGCACGAACCGCAAGATATTGCCTAGTCTAAACAAAGGCTAGCAACGACCACCGTACCGGTACCATAGCGGAACCTCCCTATTGGGGTTTCTTGAATGAAGGGAGAAAGAAAAAAAACCCTTTTATCCGGATACCGGTACAGCACTGTATCATACAAGCGCCGGGAATCCTTCTCCTTCCCTTTTTTTCCTTTTTCTTTTCTTAAACCTGATACACGATACTTGCAAGGTTCCGCCACTACAGCTAGACCACCGGTGTTATATTATACAGTACAGTGCTCGAGTCTTGTGCCGTCAAGGTACCGGAAGGCAAGTGCATCCACGTTGCCTAAAAGTTAGCACACCACTCACCCACCGCGTATGCTGTGGCGGGTACTGTACGGGTATTGTACGGTGTTGTCGGTATGATAGAAGTAACTCTCCGCCTGTGTGAAGGTAGGTAGATGGATGGTTTGGTATGATATGCTTGTGGGGTGCTCGAGAAGGTACATATCATAAAGTACAGTACTGTCTCATTGGTAGGCGGGTGACCAACGGGTATGATAAATTTGCTGGGAAGTAATCCATATTTGTATGATATGTTGCTATTTTGCCCTGAGTGGTATTTGGTATGATGCGATAGAGGATTGATGGATGCATGCATAGGCGCTGGTGGGATAGGATGGCTTATTTGCTTTCGGGGTTCCGCTTACCGTTCTAGAAAGAGAGAGGGGGGGCGGGTGGGGGTATGCTCCATCCCTGAGGTGCTATCGTGTCGTACACTATAATACTAGATATGATACCATAGTTTTAGTCAAAAACATGCAGTCATTTGAGCTCCGGACGGGTTGCATCCTCCCCTGAGCCCGGTGGAATCTTTGATTGGGGGTTTGCTGAGGCTCACCGGCTGTCACTCGGCCTTTCTTTTCTTCTTTTTACTCTCTTTTTCCCCCTACTCTGCCATGAGAGCATTCCAGTATAAGACAGTACAATAGTGCACCCCGGGGTATAGCACAGAAATAATAACCCCGCAGTCTCAGAAAAATCTGGTGGTCATAGTCACGGTTTGTGCTGCGGTGTAAGAGTGGTATGGCTCTGCACAGGAGAGCGGATAGGCGCAGTACATGAGGTTATAGTCAGCGGGTGTGGAAGAACGATAGGATATTGTGTATTGTTCTGGAAGTGATATGATTACACACACCAAACTTTGGCCGGTTAGACTGTGGTTAACGTCAAGTTAAGTTCCACTTCGCCTCACTCTATGCTCACCCCCTGGTACAGTAAAGTACCGTAGGATTCCATAAAGAAGCGGCGTGGCTTATCCAACAGCTGAGCTAAGCAGCAACAGATTGTCTAATATATCATTCTTAAGTGAGCATGATTATAGATAGTTGCAGCCTATTCCGAGGCGCTGCTTGTTTCGGGAATTCTACGGGGGAAGCAGGCTTTCGGGATCCATTGACATTTTGGGAAATCTCACCCTCTGTTTTTTCACGCAGTCTCCCTGCTGAACTGGATGATGTGCTTGCTGCTATACCGGTAAAGCTATGGCGGGGGGGGGGAGAAGCAGGGTTATTTGTACAGGTAGTGAGGAAGAACAAAGGATGTAGGGAAGGGGGGGGAACAAATGGAAGGAGGTGTTGTAGGCTTGGAGTTAAGCTGGGAGATGGAGGTAGGGTGTATCACTACCATATGCACCGCCTCGGTAATGATGTGGAAGAGGCCACAGCTGCTATCAAACATCTGTGGCTATCAGATGGGAGACTCAAAGTGTTAATACTATTTGTGGATGTGGATCGGGGTGATCTTCTGACATGAGCGGGCATAGTTTCTTCATATACCACGAATTCTCTCTCAACCGTCCTGAATACGCCGCTATCCCGTGTAAAATGAGTGAAAATTACCCATCTGAGGGGGGGGCGCTATCAGAAAGATGCGATGAGACAAGAAAATCCCCTGCGGAACGTCCGAGCTTGCTAAGACCGCCCAGCGGCGATAGCACCGAAAGCGTAATCTCCTGTGTGTGTGCTGTGTAAACGGACGGAATGTAGCTTGATTGTGGTACAGAATGTCCTTGAGCAATTCTAATACCATAGTTGGTATCTATCCCGCAGCAAGTTATTTGGTATGAAGTGTGGTTCTGGGGCGCGCTCGTCGGGAATCATAGCTGGGCTACAAAGGCAGGTCTAGTTCACCGAGAGGTGCAAAGCATGATGATTTGACAAGTGGGAAGGGTTCCCACTTATGCGGCGCAGATTCCGCAAAATGCCTCTGGTTTTGGGTTACGGTAGTGGGTGGAGGTCGATCACTGTTCAATCGTAAAAGCGGTGTTCACCGAAGGGCTGAATTATCACTTTCCGATCTGGGTCTAGGGGGAGAGTTTGATGAATGGTTGGCCGGTTTCATGGTGTATAACCAACTACAGTACACCATGAAACCGAATTACTATATTTGGTTTGGCTCACGCCGCTATGTCACTTGTTGTGTGCCGACACATGAACTTTCGCCGAAAAAACAAAAAAACTCGACTCCTGGATTTCCGGGTAACCGTTTCTTGGTAACCGTGCTGTCCCTAAGCCCCGCCCCCAGTTGGAGTGGATGTAACTATTCACAGTTCCAACAGCAACCACAAACCAGAATCAGAAAATC